TTGAATATTCTTATCAGTCCATTTTTGCCTGCAGAGTTTCTTTTGAGAAATTGGCTGATAGTCTTATGGAGTTCCTTTTTAGGTAACTGTCTCCTTTTCTCTTGCTGCTTTTAAGACTATCTACCATTAATCATTGGCATTCTAATATGATATGTCTTTTTTTAAAAAATATTTTTATTATATTGCTTATGCCATTACATTTGTTCTACTTCTCCCCCTTCATTCTCCTCCACCCTGCATACCCCTCCCTTATGACTCCCCCCCCTCTAGTTCATGAACACGTGTCTCAAGTTCTTTAGACTCTATATTTCCCCTACTATTCTTACCCTCCCCCCATCTATTTTCTATCTACTGTCTATGCTACTTATTTTCTGTACCTTCTCCCCCCTTCTCCTTCTCCCTCTCCCACTCCCCTGTTGCTAACCCTCCATGAGATCTTCATTTCTATGGTTCACTCCTGATCTAGCTGTCCTCTTAGTTTGCTTTTGTTTTAGGTGTGGTCATTAATAACTGTGAGTTTGCTGTCCTTTCACTGTTCATCTTTTTTATCTTCTTTTTCTTAGATAAGTCCCTTTAACATTTCATATAATAAGGGCTTGGTGATGATGAACTCCTTGAATTTGATCTTATCTGAGAAGCACTTTATCTGCCCTTCCATTCTAAATGAAAGCTTTTCTGGATAGAGTAATCTTGGTTGTAGGTCTTTGGTTTTCGTGACTTGGAATACTTCTTTCCAGCCCCTTCTTGCCTGTAAGGTCCCTTTTGATATGTCTTGTTGTGGTCTTCTATGGGTTCATCTTTTTTGGGACTCTGTGCTTCCTGGACTTCTATGTCTATTTCCTTCACAAAATTAGGGAAGTTTTCTTTCATTATTTTTTCAAATAAGATTTCAATTTCTTTTTCTTAATCTCCTTCTGGCACCCCTATAATTTGAACGTTGCTTTGTTTAAAGTTGTTCTAGAAGTTCCTCAGCCTATCCTCATTTTTTGAAAATTCTCTTTTCTTTTTCCTGCTGTTTGATTAAATGCTTTTTTCTTCCTTGTGTTCCAAATCATTGGTTTGATGCTCAGCTTCATAGTCTCCACTCTTGCTGGTGCCTTGTAGATTTTTCTTTATTTCACTTAGTGTAACTTTCATTTCTCCTTTTCTGTTTTTGTTGTATTCAATGAGTTCTTTGAGCATCCTTATCACCAGTGTTTTGAACTCTGTATCTGATAGGTTGGTTATTTCTGTTTCATTTAGTTCTTTTTCTGGAGTTCTATTCTTTCTTTTGGGCCATATTTCTTTGTCTCCTCAATTTGGCAGCCTTCTTGTGTTTGTTCCTGTGTATTAGGTAGAGCTGCTTTGACTCCCTGTAAAAGGTGCCTAAAAATTGTGTCTGGTATAACCATAGGTAATTGCCATGACAGGGCAACCCACTTCATCACTCTGTGGTTCTGGGTTGAGGGAGGGCTCAAAAAAGGGACTATGCAGCTGCTTGGCTTATGAAGGTTTGCCCGACACTTGCCCCATTTCTAGTCACTTCACCAACTTCCCATATGTGACTGGTGCCCTTTCAGCTATTGCCATGGTGGGGAACCCCAGCGTGGGTGGGTTTGTGTACCTTCTATGCCCATGTGGGACCTTTAAATGAACTCTTCTAAAAATTTGGCAGTTGATCCATTGCCCCACCCCTATTACTTTTTACAGCCAGAAGTTATGGGGATTTATCTTCCTGGAGCTAGGACCATAGGCTGTGTGGTCTGGCCTGGAGCTGGGAATACTCTCTCCCAAGGTTTCCATCCCAATTTTTATCCATCACACATGAATGTGGGACCACCCATTCTGCCACTGTAACCACTGTCTCTGTGCATCTCCACCTAGCTCCGAGACTCTTCCTGTCCTACACATCTGGATGAGTGTGACTTCATTAAATTCTTGGTAGTTGGACTTACATACAGCTCAACTTTATGACGATTCTGGTTATTATTTGTTTTGAGAAATCATTGTAATTTCTCTATGTGGTTGTGGGAGGAGGTGAGGCATGTCTCCCTATGCTTCCATATTGATCAGAAGGCCACAGTTAGATTTTTATTAGAAAGTGTTTCTTGCTTTGCATATTCACAAGCTTATCTTCCTCCTCAAGGTTCTCCCAGCTGAGATTTTCTTTATTATTTTTCTATAAGATCTATATGCTATTTTATACATATACATATATAATATAAGTATTCAGAAGAACATACAGCTTATCCATGGTTTAGTCATAGAACCAATTCTGTCTCTGCCTGTGGTGTTATTAACACTCAGTGGTAAAGTCCCATTTATTCCACTTTACTATGGACTTAAGTTCTCCTTGGTTTATCGCTGGTCTTATAGAAGAAATGAAAACCCAGATAGGAACTAATACTCAGAACTCTGTCTCTGACATGGAAGAGGCACCAGAATTAGGGATAACCTCAAACCCACCATATTGAATTTGGATGTGAAAATAGTCTTGGGGTTTCAGAATGCAGGACAATATCTCGCCATTCTAACATGTACATTGTACACAGGAGTCCTCAATAAATATTTGCTTTGTTAAATAGTATAAAGGAATTTTAGAGCTCCAAGAGCCCTTAGAAATCTTCTAGACCAATCTTATTTTACAGAGACAGGGAATACATTTAAGGTCCAATTTAAATGAATTAGATAGAAAAGGAGCTGGGAATAGAAAGTAATAGGATCATCTCACTTCCTCTTCAGCATTCTTTTTCCTGTTTACATGTTGCAGGACCTTATTGCTGAGCAAAGAGGAACTGTCTAATGAAAGCCCATCTATATAGGTCTCTGCAGTCTGGGTCTGGGAAAACCTTGGTCAATCATTTAAGCACTGGAATAGAGAATTCTAATTTCTCTAATGTTTGACACTTTGGGCAAGAAAAGAAACTAAGGCTGAGCCACTCTTACTGTATCAGTAACCAATACATCATTCACTGGCTTCTCTAAGAGGAAGGCAAGGTGAGGGTACCATTTGCAACACACAGATGTATTGCAATGGACTTTTCTGAAAGTAGCTACTATATTTATTATCCCAAGTGGACAGTCCTGAAGGCAGCATGTGAATATAATGAGAAAAACTCACATATTACCAGCTAAAAAAATCAGAATTGAAAATATCATGCAGCTGGTGGTTCATGATGATACTAGATAAAAGTTTTTCAGGCCAACATTTTAAGAAATAGTAAAATAATGCTTTTTGATATAGTTATGATACAAGGAATATTGTCTAAGGGGTGTCTATAGCTGTGCAGTAGTTAATATATAAAACACTTATTTTCATATGAATGGTCACTTTCACACCAATATAGTCAGTTGCATATGCCATACCTCTAAACATCAAATAATAACCTAAGTATCTGTCTCCAAAAAGTGGGAAATTTGCCCACAGAGGGGTTGAAAAAACTTATTTGGAACAAGTGAGAGAATGGAAGGTCCTCAAAATCAGAAAGTTTTACCTACATAAAAACATGCATTTTATATATAATTGAAATTTATATATTGAGTTTATATTCTTTACCATAGTTGTCTTTAAATCTTTAAGGGCGTGAAAGGTGGAAGAAAAAACTAGATTTGTGCTTTGTAATTCTAGATGACCAGTGGGTTCAAATCACAGGAAATGGGTTCCCACTTTTAGCAACAAGGTAGCCTTGGTTTCCCAGGAAATATTTCTCATGATCAGTTCCTCAGGGTCAGTTTCTATTTGTACTATTTCCTTAGCAAACACAGGAAATATTTACTTTTCCCTGGATTTTTCTCACAGAGGTAATCAGAGAACTCCAGGATACGAAAGTGGACTAGAAAGTATTATTGGTAGAGAAAGATCATTCTGGAAACTGACAGAACTGAAGGGCTTTATCAATGTTTTGAGGAAAGAACATTGTAGTGGAGTTTGGGAGAAAAGTGAGAGATTATAGAGGATGAGACAGCAATGGCCAGGGTGGCAGGAGTCCATGCTGGGAGAGTTGGCTTATACTTTAAAGGAAATTCTGCTAAGGATATGAGTCAGTAATTGCATTGTAGGATATGGCACCCGTTTTGATATGAGAAAACGGAACCACCTCAAGAATAAAGTTACATGGTGATCTATATTCTGACTCTGCAGCCTGATGTTTTCTTGGAATTTGTATTCTTTCAATATTTTGAGGAATATAAGACACAGCATTGGAATAGATTTCTTAAAGCATGTCAGATTTCTCTTTGCAAATTAACCCAATCTAAGTGTCAAATTGTTTCCTATGACTGAAAATTTAATAACTCATGGAGGCTTTCTCCAAGCTCCCTTATCATGTAGATTCTATCTTTTGCTTTTCATCACAGTCATGAATTGAGGGAAGATTTCTCATTTTGACTGTTGGTACTGTCAGGTCTCTGGGAATGACAAGGTCCTAGGCAAGACTACCTTAGAGGAGCAGAGTGAGTGTTTGAGATATCGAATGATCTCCTTCCTCATACTTTGCTCTTTGACTTACATGTTCCTTTTAGAAAGAGTTTTTCTACATAACAGAAAACAAGGATGGAAGATTTAGCTAAAGAGGAATGTTTTGTATTTTCTTTGGTTAAGAGAGTGAATCACGGTGCTTTCCTTATTTCAAACATAAAAACACAGGCCATCTTTGAACAAATACCAAAAATATCTGCCTCTTCACAACGTATTAACAAGGACTCAGTGGTTTACAGAGATATACATCTTCACCTCTACATTCTTACTTAATCTCTGATGTGTAAGTCAATTTGTTTGACTTATTGTTGCCTTTGTGTCTGAGTCTCTTATAGGCACAGGGTAAGAGAACATTTAATGAGATCAGTAGTTATGGATGTGACCACAAGGTGGTAGTGCACCTCTGCTGATGCAGAATATGTGGAGGGTTCATTTTAGTGAATTCTGATGAAATAAGCTTTGGCAGAAGAACAGTCTTTTTCTTATTGGCTGGGTAGAGAATGTGAGTAACCCCCGTTATTGTTAGAGGAAAGAAGAGATAACTTGGTAACAGCAGTAGGTCCCCTGGCTGTAGGTAGCAGGTCCTCAACTGATCTCAATAAGAATGAAGATATCCATTGGAGAATTCTTCATGTTCTTTTGGCTGCAGCTGGACTGTGAGTTGAGGGTTAATGGGAAATAAACTCTATTACTGGGTATTATTTTAGAAGCCAAGCCTGGCTTTATTCGGGTTTCCTTAGTTACTGTAGAGAGAAAATTTCGAAGCATAATAATCTGGTCACTCTTCTTTCTCTGAATTTTTCTTGCTGCATAGGTGTCAGCCAAGGAGGGGAAGTGAATCAGCATCCTCCTACCCTGAGTGTCGAGGAAGGAAATACCTTTGTCATCACCTGTTCATACTCAGACAGTATTTTAAGCTACTTTCCATGGTATAAGCAAGAAGCTGGAAGAGGTCCCCAACTTATTATAGGCATTCGTTCAAATGAGAATGAAAAGCAGCATGAAAGACTTACTGTTTTATTGGATAAGACAGCCAGAAATTTCTCCCTGCACATCAAAAACTCCCAGCCTGGAGACTCAGCTGTGTACTTCTGTGCAGCAAGTACACATTGCTTCTTCAGCACCTACAACCTGTATGCAAACTTGAAAATGCAGCACCCCTCACCCCCACCACCTTGGGACAGTCCTAGAAGTATAGCATGTCATTTTGCTTGTCTGCAAGTGGAAACTAATGTGTTGTATGTTAAAAACACATAATAAGAAGGTTAGTTTCAAGATGACCAGAAAATGTTTGAACATTCTGTTGATGACTGTTGTGTAATGGATTGTTGAAGGGACTTAGTAATGTTTTATTTTGAAATCAAGGTTTAAAGGCTACTTTACACTTGATATTTAGATAACCCTTCTATAAAATATCCCTTAGTATCAATATAATTTTTGTTAAATATAAGCTTTTAAATATTGTGTTTTGAACTGGGCATTTATTATTTTTCTGATTATAAATCATTATATACAGGGTGAGGCAAAAATAGGTTTATAGTTGTCAGTATGCAAAAGACAAGGTATATTCTTGTATTATTTATTAATTATTATAGTATTTATTTGCATAACAACTGTAAACCCACTTTTTACCCACTCTGTATTTCAAATATAAAAATATGTAAAATATTAAAAATATAAATGGATACTTCTGTATTTAGATAATACTGGTAATATCTGGATTACTCTATCAATTCTTATTCTTATTAGATTCATGATTTTTTCACTTAATATTGTATCTTGAGCTGAGCATTCTCCATTTCATCAAGACTTTTCAAATGTCTCCTTTATAGACACAGGGACAATAAGGGGGGTGGAAATGGGAGGGAGGAGGGGAGCAAGGGGCGGGGGAGGCTGGGATGGGAGAAATAGACAAAAAAACTGTACTTGAAAAATAACTAAATAAAATTTAAAAAATAACTAAATAAAAATTATAAAAATAAATAAAATAAATGTCTCCTTTATAAAGGTTTGTGAGAGATTGTAATAAATTGCAGTTTTATATTAATTTTCTTCTAGAATGGTGGCAAAATAGGACAGTCCTTTCTATGTGCTATGACCAGGCTTTTGTTTAGAAAGTGTGACACGGGTTTCTTCCTGAGCCCGGTGATGGTGCATATTATTTATGTGTTTGAGGAAATAAGGACAAGAAAGGATTTTAGAATGTGAGCTTCTGATTAAGATTATAAATCAATTCTCTTTACCAAGTTCTGTATGTATCTATTCACATTTATTTTCCCATAGAATTTAAAAGGAAGACTTGTGTTTTACTCACTGTTTTAGCTACAGTACTTGCACAAACTTTCTCACATAGTTGATTATTAATAGATGTTTATTAAAAAGATGGAAAGGTGAGTTCTGTTACTGATTCATAATTTCAATTTAAGCTTTGTGGTAGAATTAAATTTGCAAATTGACTTGTGAACAACAAATCTCTTTAATGTGTGTATTTTATTATGCAGTGTTGAAGAACACACTATTTCTTTCCATTTATATCTTTGTCTCTCTAGATAAAGCTTCATTATTTTAAGATAAATTTAAGTATTTTCCCATTATTATCAAAATCTTATTTTCTGAAGTTTATTGGAAATTTTTATATGTGTTTATCAATCACTTTATTATTATTAATAGATTGAGTAAAGGCATTGGACTAATTTAAAAATAGCTTCTTACAAAAATCCCGGACTCATCTTCATACTTTGACTCAATAAAACATTACAAACCACAACCTTTCTTAAAAAAATGTTATCTCTTTTAGTGTTACAGATAAACTAATGGAATGAACAATGTTGCATTAATTGTCTAATGCTTCCAACCCTGGTCAAGGAAAGGCTGTTTTTGAGATCTCTTACATTCTCCCTAAGTATGGACCTAACTGATGATTAATATTGTGTGATGATCCCTCAGGCTAAGTTTTTTGTTGTCTATTTTTAACTAATTGATTTTTTCTCATTAGGAAAGTCATCAGATTAAATTAAGTTTATAACACTTGAACAAGAAAGACCAGTACTGTAACCCAACACTTCAATAGCATTAATTACTTCCCTCACTATAACCAGTAGATCCAGTCCAGTGAAAGCAAGGTGACTCCTGATGGCTCCATTTTCTCTAAGGCTGATGGAAGAAGAAAGACTCATGGCTTCTTTTTATTGGTTTATTCTTCTTATGCCAAGTTAAAAGAGAGAGATAGTGTGCAGTTATAGACTTAGCTGCTTCATCACGCTTTAGTGAGAGTTTATTTAAAAGAAAAAAAAAAGAAATGCTCTAGCCAGATGTGCAGATTCAGTACACACTTAGACACACTCAAGCTTTAAATCTTTACCATGGTTGGTTGGTGTATTAGTTTTCTACCATCTCTGGACAATTACTACAACCTTGGCCCTCTCTTGATCTTGCAAAGCCAAATTGGGTCTGACAGTCTCCCTTTTGCCTGCTTTCCCTAGGACAATGTTGACTTCTCACATTTGTGTGGTTTCATCTAGTCTTACAGAGTGGGGCCCTTTCTGTGCATGCTCATTAGCCAACTTCAAAGGCTCACTTAAAAATATCTTTAAATTGCGATTCCTGCAAGATGGCAGCATAGGCAGACATGGCTCATCTTTTGGCACAACCACAAAAAATTACAACTAAGATATGTAACAATTCTTGCTCAGAACTGACAAAAATCATGGTGAATGGAAGTCTGACAACCACAGAATTGAAGAAATCACAACCAGCCAGACAGGTAAAGGGGGCATGGGCAAGGAACAGGATGGCCTCACACCCACATGGATAAAAATTTGGGGGAGATATATCTTGGGAGCAAGGAGACCAGCCTCACACCAGGCCCCCAGCCTAGGGTTCCAGTAACAGGAAAGTATGTCCCCACAAATTCTGTATGAAAAAACCAGTGGGGATTGAGTTGGTAGAAGAAACTTCTGGAGCTCTTAATAGTTCCTCACAAAGAATGTACATGTAGACTCACCTACTCAGACTCCACCCCTCATGGCTCCTGTGATGAGGTCGTGGCTTGAGGGGCGCCACTGGCTGTATGCCCTGTATGGGGGAGGCTAGGCATCTGACATCAAGGCAAGCAGAAGCTATTGTCCCTTTCCTGGGTCCTCTCCCATCAGACTTGGCAGACTGGTGCTCTATCTAAGATTTCATCAATGTGGCTAACACTGACTTGCCTTAGAGATTCCCCAGAGACTCTGCCCCACCCAATTTATGGGCCCACCCACAAGATGCTTTTCCATGTGAATTGTCTTCACAACTTCCTAAATCCTCTCAAATAAGCAACAGCTGCTCTCAGTGAGCCCCAGGCCTTGAACTAGCTGCCTAGATTCACAACTTGGCTTTGCCTGGAAATCTCCAAGCCTAGCACAAGTAATAGCCATCTTATATTGTTTTATAGCTCATGCAGGGTGCTCCCAGGGAGAACACCGGAGGGAGCTGAACTTGACCTGTACCACCTGGGAAGCCCCAAAGCATATACACCCAGTGGACAAGTACAAACCATATCAGAGCACCATCACCCTGCATCTATGTTCCCTCCCCCTTCTACCAACCTCACAACTGATCCTCCATGGATGGTGAAGGTTGATGTTGAGTGATTAAAGCTAATCTTTGCAGGTCTGGCTAAATCCCTTCCACTGATCTGCCAACAGCAACTAAATCTCAACTACAAGAGGAAGGTGTACTAAGCCCACACAAAGGCACCTTGAGTACGGAGCCTTGGGTGAGAGTGGAGGTTGTGCTTCTAGATCCTACAGGACACCTACTATATTAGGCCACACTACCAAGACACAGAGTCAAAGCAGCTCTACCTAATACATAGAAACAAACACTGGGAGGCTGCCAAAAAAAGACAAAAAAAAAAAAAAAAAAACATGGTCCAAATGAAGAAACAGATCAAAACTCTAGAAAAAGAGCTAAAAGAAATAGAGATAAGCAATCTATCAGATGCAGAGTCCAAAACACTGTTTATAAGGGTGATCAAGGAACTTAGTGAGGACCTCAGCAGCATAAAAAATATCAAGAAATGAATGATACAGTAATTGAAATAAAGATCAATTTACAGGGAAATAACAGTGAAGCAGATGAAACTGAGAATCAAATCAAGGATTTGGAACATAAGAAAGTAAAAAACAACCAATCAGGGACTTCTGCCAAGATGGAGGCATATGTGGAGACGCTGTGCCTTCTCACACAACCAAGTTTAGAGACAACTAAATATTAGCAACAGAAAACATAGTCAGAACACAGAAAATTGAACTTTTCGGAAGTCTGTTAACAACAAATTCTTCAGTCTGACTGGTAAGGGGTGAAACCAGCAGCTGGCGGAGCCAGGTAGCCCAGGAAAACTTGGTCAGATGGACTCAGGCATGCAGAATCCAGGCGCTGGGTTGGACCTAGTGAAAGACCCAGAGACTGCGGGGAAACAGCGAGGGAGCAGGGCTGTGGGTTGACTGTGGTTGTACATTTGTGCGTGGATAGACAAGGGAGGGAGTGGGCGATTAGACCGGGACCCAGCGGGTCCCCACGGCAAGCGGCAGCGGAGGGCACCGCCGTTTTCTTGCTCTGACCCCACCTCCACATACAGCGTCATAATCCAGCGACTCTGAGTGGCCTGGCCCTGGTGAACCACCTAAGGCTCTGCTCCTCACCCAGCAGCAAAACATCAGAGGGTGCTGCCATTTCCCGCTCTGACCATGCCCCCACATACAGCGTCACAACCCAGCGACCTGGGAGTCCAAGGCTCTGCTCCTCAGACTTAATGGGCATGAACAGAGCAAAAATGGTTCAAGAAGAACTCAAAGCCCCAGAGCCTATAAATCTAAGTGATGAAGAAATAGCAAAACTCTCAGACGCACAGTTTAAAACACTGGTGATCAGGATCCTCACAGAACTGGTTGATTATAGCCACAAATTAGACAAACATATGAAGGCGAAACTAATTGAAATGAATGGAATTGCACAGGAAACCAATAGCGATGAAAAGGAAACTGGGACTCAAATCAATGGAGTGGACCAGAAGATAGCAAATAATGGCCAAAAAGAAAAGAGTGAAGAAGCAAGAATTCAAAGAAATGAGGAGAGTCTTAGGAATCTCCAGGACATCTTTAAATGCTCCAACATCTGAATTTCAGGGGTACCAGAAGGGGAAAAGGCACAGCCACCAGTGGAAAACTTATTTGAACAAATAATAAAGGAGAATTTCCCCAATCTGGCAAAGGAAATAGACTTCCAGGAAATCCAGGAAGCTCAGAGAGTCCCAAAGAAGTTGGACCCAAGAAGGAACACACCAAGGCACATCATCATTATATTAGCCAAGATTCAAATGAAGGAGAGAATCCTAGAAGCAGCAAGAGCTAAGGGGACAGTCACCTACAAAGGAGTCCCCATCAGACTGTCAGCGGATTTCTCAAAAGAGACCTTACAGGCAAGAAGGGGCTAGAAAGAAGTATTCCAAGTCATGAAATCCAAAGACCTACAACCAAGATTACTCTATCCAGCAAAACTTTCATTTAGAATGGAAGGACAGATAAAGTGCTTCTCAGATAAGATCAAGTTCAAAGAGTTCATCATCACCAAGCCCTTATTATATGAAATGTTAAAGGGACTTATCTAAGAAATTAAAGAAACATGAACAGTGAAAGGACAGCAAACTCACAGTTATTAACAACCACACCTAAAACAAAAGCAAACTAAAAGGACAGCTAGATCAGGAGTGGAAACATAGAAATGAAGATCTCAAGGAGGGTTATTAACAGGGGAGTGGGAGGAGGAGAACGGGGGAGAAGGTACAGAAAATAAGTAGCATAGACAGTAGATAGAAAATAGATGGGGGGCAAGAATAGTATGGGAAATATAGAATCTAAAGAACTTGAGACACACGGTCATAAACTAAAGGGGGGTAATGGTGGGGATGGGGGGTAGGTTGGAGGGGAATGAAGAGGGGGAATAGAACAACTGTAATGGCATAATCAATAAAAAAATAAATTAAAAACAACCAATCAGAACAATAGGAGGAGAGAAGAATCCAAAAGAATAAGGATAGTGTAAGGAGCCAGTGAGACAACTTTAAACAATCCAGCATTCACTTCATGGGAGTGCTGGAGGTGGAGGAAAAATAGCAAGAAATTAGAAATCTGTTTGAAGGAATGATAAGGGAGTGCTTCCCTAGTTTAGTGAGGGAAATAGACATGCACATTCAGGAAGCACAGAATCCCCAAAAGATGAACACAAGGAAGCCCACCCCAAGAGACATCATAGTTAAAATGCCAAAGGTTAAAGATAGAGGTGGGAGGGTGGATGTGGGAGAATAGGTGAGAGGTGAGGGTATTAAGAAGTACAAATTGGTAGTTACAGAATAGCTATGGGGATGTAAAGTACAGTGTAGTAAAGGAAGTAGCCAAAGGAACTATATACATAACCCATGGACATGAACAGTGGTGGTGGTGGGGTGCCTGAGGGAGTAGGAGATGCTGGGTGGAGGGGGTCCAAGGGGAAAAATTAGGACAACTGTAATAGCATAACCACTAAAATATAATTAAAATAAAATAAAATTTTCAAAAGGAGAAAAAAAGTATTAGAAGTTAATTAATCACAAAAACACTTTCTGTGCCTTGCTATGCATCTTCAACAGAGTAGATAAAGGCCATTGAACAAAAGCAATTGGAATATTCTGCCTAAAGGAAACTGTATAGAAACAGTTATGATATTTATCCATTTCTTTTATTTATTTTTAACTGGGGTGGCAGCAGTTAATAAAATTATACAGGCTTCAGATGTACAATTCTATAATACATCATCTGTATATTGTACTGTGAGTTAACCATCCCAAGTCAAGTTTCCTTTTATCACCATTTAAACCTTTTTACCCTCTTCTACCTCCCCATACCCCTTTGCCCCTGGTAATCACCATACTGTGGTCTATCTGTATTGTTTTAATTGGATTTATTGGGGTGGCATTGGTTAATAAAAATTATATAGATTTCAGGAGTAAAAAATTCTATTACATTAACTGGGGTGACATTGATTAATAAGATTACATAGCTTTCAAGTGTACAGTTCTATGGTACATCATTTGTGTATTGCATTGTGCGTTCACCACCCAAAGTCAAGTCTGCTTCAGTCACCATATACTTGACCCCACTATCTTCTTCTATCTCCCTCTTACCCATCCTCACCCCTCTTCCCTTTGGTAAACATCATACTTTTATTTTCTGTGTCTGGTTCTTGACTTTTTCTGTCTGACTTATTTCACTTAGCTTGATATTCTCAAGATTCATCCATGTTGTCACAAATGGCCATATTTCACCTTTTTAATGTCCCAGTATTTTCCATTGTATATATGTACCATATACACTTTATCTAATCATCTTTCTGAGGACACTTAGATTGTTTTCATGTAGTGACCACTGTGAATAGAGCTGCAATCAACCTAGGGGTGTATATATATTTACAAATGAATATTTTCAAATTTTTCAGGTAGATACTCAGAAGAGGAATTTCTGAATCATATGGACACTGTATGCTTACTGTTTTGAGGAACCTCCATACTGTTCTCCATAGTGGCTGTACCAATTTTTATTCCCACTAGCAGTCTATGAAGGTTCCCTTTTCCTCTACAACTTTTCCAACACTTATTTCCTGTCTTGTTGATAATAGGCATTATGACAGGCAAGAGGTGGTATCTCATTGTGGTTACTGGTGGCTCACTCTTGTCACCCTCCTAAGTGAACTGGTAGCTGGGTGGGATGGTATGTGGGTGAGGCTAAGCATTGGGGGTGCTTATGAGTGAGTTGTGGGATTCCAGAGACCAGGCATCATCATCAGCTCATGGGCAGGATCCTGATGACATCTGTGTTGTGGTTAGTAGGATCCATGATCCTTTAATCCCCAGTGAGAGCCCTTCCTGCTGTTCTCCCAGGTGCTCCACACTCCATTTGGGCACACACTTCAGTATTCTGGATGAGGCAAGAAAGAGGTGTGTTTCTTTGACAGTGTCCCCCAAAACTGGGGGAACTAGGAACTTGGTTCGGTGCTCTAATGTTTCCCTATGGGAAAAATCAAAGACCTAAGATTTCTCTTGGTGCTGAGCTGTGTCGCACAGTGGAGACATTTGACCAGGCTAATGTGAAATTGTTCCTCCTACCTTTTCAATGCTGCCAGTCTCAGGTGTTTCTGCTTCCACATTGTGTTTGTCTTACAGTGTAGCTTCTCTGTTGGACAGCTGAGCTTTCTCATAGGTGCTCAATTTAGTGTGTGATTTGTAAAATTTTGTAATTCTTTTGTGAGGGAAGATGGTAGAAAGTTCATTTACTTTTTTTTTTTTTTGTCGTTCTGTTTTTTCGTATATAGATCATTAACCATCGTTCATTACTTTTGCCCCCCTTGGGTGTAATTTTTTTGTACTTTTTTTTTTTTTTTTTAATAGGTTTTTAATTTAAAAGAAATTTGGTTGGGTGACACTCTCTGTCAGAAAGGCTGACATGACCCGCAGCAACTGGCTGCACCAGGAAACCCTGTTTCCTGTTCTGGGGCAGCAGCAGCACACAGCCCAGCATTTCTTCTCTTCCTGTCAGAGTCACCTCACTTTGTAGGGTCTTGAAGCTGAAGAAGAACGAGAAGATGTTTATTACCTGTTGAAAGAAACTTAAAGATGTTGCTCTCCAACCTTCTGAAGGTGGTCCTGGCTTCAATGTGGCTAGGTAGGCATGCCCCAGTGGGAATGGGTTTCCTTTATGACCTAAGTACTGGGGGCCCAGGTAGTGTTTTATAAGTACTCTTGGAAGGAGAGGTGGCAGGATGTGAAAAATAATTTTTTGTTCCATACCATTTATCCCCAAACTTTCTGATTTTTTCCCCTTTAGGATCCAGTATTTCCAAGAAGGTAACTCAAGTCCAACCAGCAATGTCAGTGCAGGAGAAGGAGGCTGTGACCCTGGACTGCACATATGACACCAGTGATCCAACTTACAACCTCTTCTGGTACAAGCAGCTGGGCAGTGGGGCAATGATTTTCCTTATTCGTCAGGACTCCTATAACCAGAAAAATGCCACAGAAGGTCGCTACTCACTGAATTTTCAGAAAGCAAACCGTTCCATCAACCTTGTCATTTCACCTTCACAGCTGGAGGACTCTGCAGTGTATTTCTGTGCCCTAGTGAGCCCACAGTGAGAGGTGTGTAGGAAGGAGGTGAACCAAAACCTCAAGGCTCTGCTTGACGCATCCACCTGCTGTAGGGACCAAGGCCAGGAATTTTCCACACAGGAAGTGGCAAGGGCTGGGTTACCACAGGTGATGGCAGTGTATGAGGGAAAACTATGAAAATACCTCCTTAGTTCCATAGGCTGTATGTAGAGTTATTATTCATTGAAAACATCCACATCCTTTAAATTTTAAGTTGAAATTATTTATTGAAGACAAGGAACAACCACAACAAACAATTTTCCATTTGGTGAGAGATTGAATTTAGAAGAATTAACTAAGAAAATTCAGAAACATCTGAATCTAAAAATCAGTAAAAGTCTGTGGAATTTTAAGATTTTCCGATCAATTTGTTCAATAAATATTTATTGAGTATATTTTATGTTACAGACATTGTTTTGAATGAGGAAGGCCATGAAATTTTTGTGTGTTTTCCTTGTTTTGTATATTACGCTGTTTCATACTGTTTAATGAATTAGTTTAATTTAGATTTGTTAGTTAAGGGTACTGTGATTTACTTTTTAAGGTAACTGCAATGTGACTAACTTTGTGCGGATGTTCTTTTTTTCTTATTAACTTTGTAGCACTGAAGTGCTAGTTTCCATTATGTAAATTTACCTGCCTTTCACCAGTCTTACTCATAAAATGATCAATAATTAGTGGCTCTGGGGGGATATTGGGCAAAAGCAGATTGTGAATTATCTTCTTTTTCTAATCTTGCCCTTCACTTCACTACTCCTCTAAAAGCATTTTTTGTCATCATTAGCTCATTTGTTCACATCCATGCCCTCTTTGTTCGTCAATATTTCCCAATCCAAAATTCTCATTTTCTCCAATTTCCACCTCTATTTCTAACCTTATTGTTTCAGGACCATAAAATATGAATGGTAATATATGTTTCATAAATGTTTTTGCATTGTAACTTACTCCTATATTTGTATCTCAGAAGCACATGCGCTAAGTAGAAATCTGAGAAATAGTGTGTTTTGAAAATGTTTTAAATTTAAAAAATTACCATTTTAACATAAATCTTAACCATTTAAAAATTTTAAATCTATAATCCAGTGGTAGTAAGTACATTTACATTGTGCTTCAAGCAACACCACCATCCATCTCTAGAACTCTTTTCATCTTGAAATGAACATGAAAATAGTTCACTTCTTTCAAAACTGAAAAATGTACTTGGCAAACAGTAACTCTCTATGACCTGTTTTTTGCAGCTCTTCGCAAGTACATTTTTACTTCTTCATTTTATGAGTTTGACTATTTTAGATACCTTATAAAAGTAGAATTATGCTATATTGGTCATATTGTTACTTATTTCACAAAACATAGTCCTGAAAGTTCACTCATGTCGTAGCATGTGTCAGAATTTTTTCCTTTTTTATGGTTGAATAATATTCTAATGTGTGTACATACCACATATTTGTTTATCCATCCATGTGTTGATGGAAATTTGTGTTCCTTCCAAATTTTGGTGGAAACATGTATATGAATATATCAACATTTTTGGTATATACCCAAATTATTTCAATTTTTAGTATGTACAAAGAAGTAAATTTTTTGATTATATAAAAAGTCTATTCAATTTTTTTGAGGAACATTTATACTGGTTAGTTTCAAGAACTGTCGTCTAAACTGATTTATCACAAGCAAGTTTAAAGGGACAGAGAAAAAGAGCCATTACTAGCTGTGAATAAAATTTCAATTTCCTGGTGCGCAAAAGTATAGGAGAATTTGTCACCCTCTCCATAGTGCATTGCTCAAGTCAGGTGCCTAATAATTGGTTGGAAAAAATGGTCAAGTTCCTAGTGATGTAGTGGTTAATTACTGAATTGCACTTTTGCATCCTTTATAAGATGTTTTCCTTCTTGTTTTGGTAAAAAAGCCAAACCTCCAATTATTTAATTATTTTCACAAATAAAAAAACTTAACGTAATTTCATAAAATATTTCAAGGACCAAGAAGTAATTTTTCTATCCTCTAGTTTTTCTTTCAAATTTTCTCTAAAAATAGTTTATAGTGAAAAAGCAGGGAGCAGGTTTTTGCTATCAGAGAACTCTGTTTTTGAAATTATTAGCTCTGCCTTGTGCTTTGTAGACACTTGTGAGCTTTGTTTCATTATGTGTTAAATGGGAGAGTGATGTCTTCTTTAATATTTTGTTGTGACAATTCATTAATAAATTGTCAAGAGATTGACAAAGAGTAGATGATTACTTAGTTACAGTAGCCTCAGTAGGTGCAGAAAAATACATTTGACAAATCCAGCCTCCAATTGTCATTAAAAATTCCCATTAAAAACTTACATCAGATGTCATGTTTGATAGTGAAAGACTAAATACTTTCCTATGATGATCTGGAATAAGGAAAGAAATTTAGTTCTCACTGCTTGTATTTAATATTATACTGGAGGTTGAAGCTAGTACAATAAAGCAGAAGAAAGAAACAAATAATACACAGTTCAAAAAGAAGTGAACCTCTCTTTATTCACACACAGCATAATTGTTTGAATAGAAAATCGAGGGGTGACTTCCGCTAAGATGGAGGCGTAGGTGGAAACATTGTGTCTTCTCGCTTAACCAAGTTTAAAAACAACAAAGTGTTAGCAACAAAAACGCAGCCAAACAACAGAAAATTGAACTATACGGAAGTCTGACAACAACAAACCTTTCATCCAGACTGGTAAGAGGGGCGAAGCCAGCAGCAGAGTGGGGTAGGGAAGGAAAGATCCACCTGAATGACCCAGGCACGTGACCCAGGTGCGCAGGCAGCCGTGGGTATATCTCAGGTGTGGAGTAGCATCAGGTGGACCCACTGAGAGCTGACTGTGGTCACACATTTGCACACAGATAAACTGGAGAAGGAGAGTGCAGTGAGATGGACCACGCAGGCCCCAGTGGTGGGAAGCAGCAGAGGGGACCGCTATTGTCCCTCTCTGACCCCGCCCCCACATATAGTGTCTAAAACCAGTGACCTGGGTGGCCCCGCCCTGGTGAACATCTAAGGCTCCGCTCCTCATATGTAACAGGCATGAACAGACCAAAACATTATGGCTCAAGAAGAGCAATTCAAAGCCCCAGAGCCCATAACTCTAAGCTACGAAGAAATAGCAAAGCTTTCAAATGCACAGTTTAAAACACTGGTGATCAGGATGCTCACAGAACTGGTTGGTTTTAATCACAAATTAGAGGAACATATAAAGGCTAAACTAATTGAAATGAAAGGAAATGCACAGGAAACCAATAGTGATGGAAAGGAAACTGGGACTCAAATCAATGGAGTGGACCAGAAGGAAGAAAAAAATGACCAAACAGAAAAGGATGAAGAAACAAGAATTTAAAAAAATGAGGAGAGGCTTAGGAACCTCCAGGACATCTTTAAACATTCCAACATCTGAATTATAGAAGACTACCAGAAGGGGAAGAGGAACAGCAACAAGTGGAAAACTTATTGGAACAAATAATAAAGGAGAATTTCCCCAATCTGGCAAAGGAAATAGACTTCCAGGAAATCCAGGAAGCTCAGAGAGTCCCAAAGAAGTTGGACCCAAGAAGGAACACACCAAGGCACATCATCATTATATTAGCCAAGATTCAAATGAAGGAGAGAATCCTAGAAGCAGCAAGAGATAAGGGGACAGTCACCTACAAAGGAGTTCCCATCATACTGTCAGCTGATTTCTCAGAAGAGACCTTATAGGCAAGAAGGTGCTGGAAAGAAGTATTCCAAGTCATGAAATCCAAAGACCTACAACCAACATTACTCTATCCAGAAAAGCTTTCATTTAGAATGGAAGGGCAGATAAAGTGCTTCTCAGATAAGCTCAAATTCAAGGAGTTCATCATCACCAAGCCCTTATTATATGAAATGTTAAAGGGACATACCTAAGAAAAAGAAGATAAAAAATATGAACAGTGAAAGGACAGCAAACTCACAGTTATTAAGAACCACACCTAAAACAAAAGCAAACTAAGAGGACAGCTAGATCAGGAGTGAACCATAGAAATGAAGATCTCATGGAGGGTTAGCAACAGGGGAGTGGTAGAAGGAGAAGGGGGGAGAAGGTACAGAAAATAAGTAGTATAGACGGTAGGTAGAAAATAGATGGGGGGAGGGCAAGAATAGTATGGGAAATATAGTATCTAAAGAACTTGAGACACATGGTCATAAACTAAAGGGAGGAGTGGTGGGGGAGGGGGTGTACGGGGTGGAGGGGAATGAAGGGGGGAAATAGAACAACTGTAATGGCATAATCGATAAAATATATTAAAAAACCTATAAAAAATTAAAAATACATGAGAGACGGAGGAGAGACACAGAAGAGCCACATTAAAGAGGAGGTGAGCCATCCTTATTTCTGGAGATGTCTGACATGGAGATGTAGTTAGGAATTCAAGGATACTGAGTGTGAAAAATATTAAGCTGATGGTCTGCAAATAAATTATACCATTTCTTTTAAAAATATTTTATTTATTTATCTTTGGACAGAAAGGGAAGGAGAGAAATATCAATGTATGGTTTCCCCTCATGAGTCCCCTACTTGGAACTGGCCTGCAACCCAAGCATGTGCCCTGACTGGGAATCGAACCATGATCGTGTGGTTTGAAGGCCTGCGCTCAATCCACTGACTGAGCCAGGCCTAAATGATATTATTTCTTAAAAAAATGAGATTGAGCCAGGCCTAAATGATACCACTTCTTTAAAAAAAAGAAAAAGAAAATTGAGGGGTATCTGCAAAAAAGCTACTAGAACAAAGAAGTTGAGCAAAGTCAAATGTACACCTACTGTATGATTCAGCCATTCCACTCTCAGATGTTGACCAAAGAGAAATGAAAGCATATTTAAAAAAAAACCTTATACACTAAACTTCACAGCAGCTTAATTTGTAATAGCTACAAAGTGGGTTCAATGAAAGTTTACACCAACAGATGAACAAATAAATAAATTATTTTATCTCTCTATGATGAAATACATATGACTTAGCAACAAAAAAGAATGAACAGTTGGCCCTGGCTGGTGTGGCTCAGTGGATTGAGTGCTGGTCTGTGAACCACAGGGTTGCCAGTTTGATTCCCAGTCAGGGCGCATGTCTGGGTGGTGGGCTAGGTCCCCAGTAGGAGGTGTGCAAGAGGCAGCCACACATTAATGTTTCTCTCCCTCTCTTTCTTCCTCCCTCCCCCTATCTAAAAATAAATAAATAAGATTTTTAACAAAAAAGAATGAACAACTGGAATTTAAGAGACCATAAAAGAATCTCAAAAT